CCACCATCCACGGCCCCAGCGGCTATCACGTTGTGGATGCACCACGCCGTGGTGGAGTCAACGAGCGCTGAGGAGATCCGGGAACGAGAAAGGGATGTAGGAGACCGGCTATATCTGCGCCTAGTGCGCGGGGGCGGGGAAGCAGAACGCGACGGGGACCTGGATGGGCGTCTGTCCTTGCTCCGGCCTCTGATTGCTCGGGAGCGAGGCGGGGTTACAGATCTAGAAGGGGATCGTCGCCTGGCCCTATTCGGTTTGCGAGGTTGGGGGGATCGTGAGCTTGACAAAGACAGAGAACTTCGCCGCCTTCCCCTGCTTGAGCGGGGTGGAGGGGATCGGGAGAGTGAGTAGCTTGTCGACCTGTGGCGAGTGTCCTTGGCACGTCCGCGACGGGGAGGGCTGATTGAGCGGGATGGAAAGCGTCCGCTACCTCTTCCGCTAGCGATCGCTTTCTGACCCCGCGAATCTGACCGCTTGCGTAGAGGAGATCGACGACGTACAGGAGAATATGAGACAGATCGAGATCTGTGGCTCGCAGGAGATAGCGACCGAGAGTATGGTGGTTGTCTACCCCGGCGCCTAGGTGGAGGTGTCGGTGAGCGGGATGGCGTAGAGCTATAGCTTCTGCTACTGCTTCTGCTAAGGCTTCCCCCTCGAGATGAGGGAGAGCGGGAGAACGAGATGGAGCGTCTTCGGCCACGAGAGGATGAGCGAGAGCGAGAATACGAGCGCGACCTGGAAGAACCAGTGTATGACGAGTAGCTTGAATATGAGCTGACTGATTCTGAGTCTGATTCTGCTGCTCGTGCAGGTAAGGCGGGAAAAGTAGGTTTAGGTAGATTCTTCAAATGCTCGCGCATCCCTTCTGTGAGAACACCCATACCAATACTAGTAAAGTAATTGATCGAGAAACGCGTGTTTCTTGGATTATCAGTCGGGAACAAACCCTCAAAACTAGGTTGGAGTATATCATCATTGAAAATTTCCTGCAGTTTCGCCATTCCAAGAACTTCGGCCAGTTCCTGGAATAGTATTTTAACAAAGATACGGCTACTAGATGTTGTCTCTTCTTCGTTGAGATGAATAATGGACAACGCATGCCAACCAATCGCGTCCGAGCTGAGCATATGTCCAAAGAATTTCGCAATGTTCCGAAGACGGTTTGTTTCGTAGCGGTGGATAGTATCGTAATATTTGATGAAGGCCTCTTCGAACAGATCAGCCCAAAGACGGTTGAGTTTCGCAAAACGCTCCCCGATCAAGCCATAGAACTTGGAATAAGTCCGCTCCTGAGAGCAGCATTCGATGATCATGGACGGCAACTCCGACTCCTGTCCCGGTGGCAAAGTGATCTTCATGAGTTTGTGGCAGCATTCTTCAAAATCAATACTCGACATAATAGTTAAATAGATCGTCCTCCTGAGGTTAACAAGATCGGTATTGCTCTGATCCTTAATGTCCATTTGCTGGTCTTTCTCGGCTTCCTCATCCTCATCGGAGCTTTCATCCGATTCACCCTCGTCCCCGTCTTCGTCATCACTCCCTTCGCCCAGAATCTCAGCTTTTAACTTCTTATATGCATTTTCATGTTCCTCCCACTGAGGATCATACTTAAATATATTCAGACCATCTTGGACATCGATTTCATCATCAAGACTAATGCGATGCGTGATCTGGTCTTCCTCCTCGACGAGATCAAGCTCTTCCTTGATAGCAGGGTTATCTTTGTAATGATCCTTTCGGACCTGGAATAGAACTTCGATCATATATTGAACACGCTTATCAATATCTGCCTCGTGAAGTATGTTTCTGAACTGGTCAAACACAGCAAGCGCGATTGGCCCTCCCATTTCCTCCAAGTATTGTCCGACCTCCCTAGTAAGGCCAACAGCAATCTCCACACTATCATCCGTAGGTTTGTGTAGCAAAAGCAGCAGGATTTGAGCAGCTACCATTTCATGTGCCACCTGTTGATTACACAAGTGGGCAATAAAGGTGGTCGACGAGATGCAAACGGCTTTGTCATTTCGCTTGAAGGCCTTGCGGAACTGGACTATGAGCCGATTTAGCAAAAGCTCTCCCACCTGCGGAAGTTTTGTGTTGACAATCGCGGCCATGGCGGCATATATTGGAGTAAACGGCAAACTAGCAGCCTGAGCTTTCATAATACTTCGGCAAAAGAGACCTCTGCCGCGAACGAGATTCTCTCCAAAAAGCTCAGAACGATAAATTTGATGTTCGAAACGTTGACTTTGTTGATCAGACCGTTAAGGGATTTCTTCAGGGCCTCCCATGACATCCGCTGATACTCCTTGCTCGTCTTATCAGTGATCTGAGCTTGAAGTGCTCTAAGTTTCGCTGGAGGAATGTAAGTTCCACCAGAGCGCATATTCAGCAGTTTTTCATATTCCGCCTTCGCAGCAGCTTGCTTCTCTTCTTCGGTCAAGGGCTTCGCAGGAGCTTCTCGTATTCGAAGCCGTTCGGTGAGCTGACGTTCTCTCTCCATATGACTGTTTGACTCGCCATGAGGAAAGTCAGGCCCTCCACGAGACGTCCCGTTTGGAGGAGAACGACGCCGGTCAGGTGAAGGGGATCGGGATGGTGGTGACCGTTTTCGAGTCCCAGAAGGCTGGGGAGAGTAGGACGCGCCCGGTGGGGGAGTAGGCAGACGAACTGCTGACTGTAGCATCACCGGATCTTCCATTTCGAGCAGGACGTGATGCGGTTTGTCGTTACTTCCAAGTCATATTAAGATATTGTAATCACTTGCGTGGCTGGAAGTGTTTGCTGGGGATGAATGCTTGTTCAAAATGGCAGAAAAAAAACGGCATCATGGCTTTAGCGCCTGAATCCATCACGTGATATACAATGATTCCAATGTTATTTTGCCGACCGCGACCCAGTCAGGAGGAAGCCGGTGAGAATTTGACCTTTCTCAACCCTGATTACTATTCAGCAATTAGCAACGTTGGTTTTCTTGATAGCCCTTTCTTTTTCAACCCTATTTAGGGATTAACCTGATACCTCACTCAATCCCCGGACCTGAGCTACCTCTACTCTTCGCAGTGATGGTGATTTTTCATTCCTTGCTCTGTATACAATCAAAAATTTGCTAATTGTTCATTTACAAACAGTTTGGACGACTTATTGGATTGGCCATGCTTTTAGTGGCAACTGCTGTTTACCTTTACTACACGGCATGGACTCTACTCATGGTATGATGAATAATTTTACCGCTTTTCTCGAGCCGCAAACGCAGAAAAAAAAAAAAAAAGGGGGGGGGGGGGTGGGGGGATTGAGGTCGCGCAGCGCAATGAAAATGTCTTCTGACCAACTTTCTCGATTGTCAAGTATAGCCCTTTGTCGATGACGGCCATCCACTCCATGACCTCTTCCCACCCCGTGTCTGGGCAATCCGTATTCCCGTTATCCTGACGCTACTCGGATCTGCGGTCGTGGGTTCATTCCTAGGTGTTGTTATGATTCGAAGTAATCGGAAAAAGGCTGCCAAAGCGAAGGCAGCATCGAAGAAGAAAGCTTGACGACTGGACCCTATTTCTATTATCTGTGATATGCTCTTTTATTCCACCTATGGCCAGGGTTTGAGAATAGACAAGCGAACAGGGGGAGGTGGAGCATGCAGTCAGGCCAAATATCCCCCGCAGCGCTTGAGTAAGCCGTGTTCTAGTACCGTTATATACGTTAACAATGCGACTTTATTCGAGCATAATCGTCCTACAAAGAGGTTTCGATAATTGGTGTGTGATATTCATCATTGCTCATGCTTTCACACATTCATAGTCGGATTTATCCGTCTCGAAATATTGAAGGTGTTCATACGGCTCTTTTCTGTGACAAGACACTGACGGATCAGAAATAACATATCCGCAATGTCTCAAATAGCTTCAGGGCTTGGTACAGAACATTAAACACAACCAAAGATCAAGGGCGAAGATGTCATCCAGTCAGCCGTTTTCCAAACCGTAATGGAATGATAATTTTTTAAAGAGATGATATGTATCAGTTATTTAGACTTGCGGCCACTTATTCCAATGAGACAGGCAGCACACCCCTCGCTTTATCATGTCATGCAGTTAATAGACCCGATGTACCATACAGATGATCAAGAAGGATGGATCTATCCTAGTCACATGATTGAGGTTACGGGTCATTCAAACGTCAAAATGTTTTTTGGAGCTGGTGTTTTCGAAGAAACATTCCTGATTATTCTAAATTCAAAAGAAAACAAGGATCGTGTACGTAGTAGAGGACGAATAATCCTCAGTTTGAATACCCCAGAAAAACAGGATTCAAACAACTACTTTTCCAAAAGATAACAAATAGGATACGTACAAAATACATGGTCGAAGTCGAAACCGGCGTGATGGTTTTTTTTTTCAGCGAACACTCCTAGGTGTTACCTCAGGGATGCTGTTCTCACGATCTGCCACGAAAGCCAGGATTTGAAGAATAAGAAATACCACAAGCACCATAACCAGACATTGGCCCTACACAACCTAAGTGCATCGGATCGCCTGGTATGTCTTGTGCAAGCAAGTCTGGTAAATGTATTCTGTACTGTGTCCAGCAGCTAACAATCAGCAGGTGACGCAGAGCACATGACTTCAACTCTTTGCCAGTCTTGGCACTTCATTATTTGCCTTGTTTGCACTGTTTGTAGTCGGCCAGGTTGCTTACCTAACTATTATTTTCCATGACGCGCCGTCATCCACAGCCAATCACAGGTGCCATCCTCTCACCTCGCTGGATGTGTCATCGTTGCCCCTCTTGTCGCTCCATCCTGACTCTCCTATCAACAGACCTACAACCACGCTTACAACTCGCTTTCTATCGAACCAGCTACTTTGATAATAATTTATGGAACTATCCCGCTGCATCTGCCAGCAGCTTGTTCGTGTCTACTGAACCTACTTGTCACCTGTGAACATTTCCTTATAGAAACAAGCAGCTTGCTCTGGAAGCTCTGTTCCTCCCATATCCTTCCACCTCTTGATCCTCCTCTCACCTGTCTGTGTACACCTTACTGCCTCACGGCTTCTTGTTCTATAGCTATCTTGTGTTTATTTACGGCGGTATCTGGCATATCTGGAATATAAACCTGCTACTTATTCATCATATCCGTCCCCATACCATCCTTGACTGTTCCTATCATTCATTCGTCTTCTCAAATTCACAGACCGTCGATCGCTATCCTGGATCGCCTGCCTACCAAGCCTCCTTAAAAATACGAGGACCACAGAAGGAGTGATTCACTTCTTCGCATCGACTTCTACGTATTTCTCCGGGATTTCCTGCGCATTTCACGGCCCTTCAGTGGCCACCTCCTATCATTTTTTGGATGCCCCCAGCGTCTAACCCCTCACGCCAGCAAAGTCGGTCCCCGGCGGCCAAGTCACCGTTGTCACAGCAGCTCACAGCTCCAACTCAATCAGGCCTTAGCCGTCAATCTAAGAAAAAGAGAAGAAATGTTGCGGAGCGAGAGGATGGGGCCGCCAAAACTGAAACGCAGGCGCATCCGGATAGCCAGTACGTGACCAACTCCTCCGCTGCTTTGTGGTTGTCGTTAGCCCCAGCTCTTTCCATTCCCTCTGCAATTCTCGTAACTTAGTACGAGTCAGCATAGAATTTATGTATCTAACGGCCATATACTCTACTTCTATAGAAGCGCGTTCTCCCCAGCCTTGGAGCCGGAAGATATCACCCTCGATTCTCAGAATGTTGCCGTGCAGCAACATCTAACCCACGTCAATTCTCCAATCTTGGATACTTTAAACTCGTTGAGTGGCCATGATAATAGTGATACCGTCCATCGAACTGATTCCTGGGCTAAGTCCATTCCGTTTGGAAAAAGCCCACCCAATGATCTGATAGATGGGCTGAGCATAAGCGCATCGCCACCAAATTTTGCCTCACTTGGGGAAAAAGGGGGTTTCAGCCATAGCCCTTCACCAGCCTCACAACCGATGGGGAAGCCTCGGCCCTTGAGCTATGGAAATGGCCACCCGAATTCTACGCCGGCAAGGTATCAATCTGTGGATAGACAACGTTCGTCCAGTAGTCATCACATGCACCAAATTCCATTGCCTCATCTACCACAACCACATTTTTATTCCGCGCCCGACATCGACATACCGCATTTCCCAAGTCCCAGTATGCGACCCGCAGGGGAAGGTGGCTATACTTTCTGTTGCTTTGATGCGATTTCGAATCCACATTCAAAATCAAGTAATAAATTTGGTGGCAATGTCATGTTGATTGGGAGTGATGGGTATTTGGACGTGCTTAATGTTGAAGGCGATAAAGCCAGAGTAGTCGGGAAGCTCGATGGACTAAATGGAAGAGTACTAGACGCCAAAATTCTGACATGGGCGTCTAGGGTTGATCCTTTCGCAACATATCGGCCACTCATTGCGATATCTATACACGGGCCCGCTCAGACAGTCGACGATGGCGGCACCTCGTCTTCCGCGGATTCGGATCAGGTCGAAATAGTACCAGCAGTACCGAACCCACGGTCAAGGCGTGATGATACCCTACAAGTGCAGACTCGAGTTCAAGTCTACTCCCTCAAAACACAGGAGCACATAACAACACTCTATTCAACAAAACCTGTGCCCTGCTACGATCCCTTCCCTGGCTTGCCGATCTCCGCTTCGTCACCCGTTGGAAACCTGAAAATATTTGCAAGTGGAAATTTTGCTGTTATCGCTTCTGGCACGAGTGGCGAGGTTTTCATTTATAGTATTATCTCCCAGTCGTCACGCGGTTTTTTTCAGTGCCTTGGAAAAACTTGGACTAGTATGCAGTGGAAAGATGTCCGCAGATATTCTAGCTCGTCGAACTCGACAAATGACCTGGACGATTTCCAATCTGATACTAGCCGGCCTTCAACCAATTTAGACACTCCAATTTTATCTCTTAGTGGTCGATGGCTAGCTGTTGTTCCACCGTCTGCCTCACGCCGAGTTTCCCTCCATGGAACCATTCCCTCGCATCTAATCCAGAAGAAAACTTATGGACTAGATAGTCATACCCCTCCTTCTCGTCCTTCAATCTCGTGTGGGGTTGACTCTGGGGAAGGAGAGAGCCTCCTCAATAAGGTTGCAAGAGGAGTCACACAAGAAATTTTCAAAGGTGCTCGATGGATCGGAGATCAAAGTGTCCAAACCTGGAATAGCTACTGGAATAAAGACGCTCAGTTAACGCATGCGACTCCTTCTCGTCGCTCTCACCAATTTGACGCGCAAACCGGACACAATATTCTTCCGCCAACGCATGCGCCTGATACTCAATCAGGCTTGGTTTGCGAACCCGATCTTGTGTCCATCATTGATTTGAAGAAATGTGAAGAAGCCCATGATATTAAATCGGGATTTCCTACCCCCATTGCCACATTCCAACCACCTAATGGATGCAGCTTTCTTTCCTTCGCACCTAACGGTCTCATGCTGCTAACTGCCAGTAAAAAGGGGGACATACAGCATATTTGGGATCTCATGCAGGTAAAGCACTGCAGATCTAGGGCATTTATATCGGATGATCCAACTTCAAACGCAGTGGCTTCCAATCCTCCGGCTCTTCATGTGCGACAAGTCGCGAGATATGCCCGACTGACGACGTCAAGTATTGTTGATATTGTATGGACTGCTCCCACGGGGGAGCGCTTAGCGATTATCACTAAGAAAGGCACTGTTCACGTCTATGACCTTCCACGTGCTGCATTCCAATGGCCACCTCTCCGCCGAGTTGCGCCCTCTAAGATGAACCAAAAGGATACTTCAGCTATTGAAGACCATGAAGAGGCTCCTCCAGGTAACCCGTTCTCTGCCGCCATAAAACTTGTTGGTGGCACAACCCAGCCTATTCTTGCAGCTGTACGAGGTCGTGCGCCGAGTGTCGGAGCAGCTTTCCAAGGTGGTGCAGGGGCATTCGGCATTTCGGCTGCAACGGGAGTTCGTGGTGGTGGTAAGGCTGTCGCTGCTGGTTTGAGTAAGTCAATGGGTGCGGCAACCGGTACTATGAACACACTTCGACGTGTGGGCGAAAACCGCCTGCATCTCTCTGCCTTTTCCAGAGACACTGCTCGTTCTCGAGTCACTTGGCTTGGTACAGAAGACGAACCCTTCTTAGGTGTCATTGACGGCGGCAAGTTTACAGCATACAGAGTCCGACGGAGTTCTTCAGCTGGAAAGAACAAACAAAGTCACTCCGTTATTGGAAGCAAATTAGCGGATATCCGATTACCAGCTAATGCTCAGTTGCTCAGCGGTCCCGAGCAGGCATTGCCCATGCCGATCGAAACTCAAGTTTCCGGGTTCTGGTATTTGTCCTCACCTACACTCGTACGACGCTCGAGTGGCAAGCTTAAATCACAGCCACTTTCCCAGGCTGAAATCGAAGCCAATGCACCGTATCAGCCATTCCATACCGACCGCAGAGTAAACCTCATGGTTTATCCTACCAGCTATGAGGAGAAGGTTGTCATGCCGACACAACAACCATGGGTTTTTGGGGACGATATCCCTTCGATAAAACTCAATTTACGCCCGGCCACCCATAGCGATGAAGATGGCAAAGATAATATCGATATCGGACGCAACGCTGGTCCTGGTGAGATAGAGAATTTGATCAGTCTTGGAAACGCTGGAGATAATGTTGAGCATGTAGTGATTACAGCTCGAAGGAAGAAGCGGGCGACAGCTTCATCCTCTACCGTCGGTTGTGCTGCCACAGCTGATGAGGATGGCTTCTTCGAGGATGACTGTGATGTTTTAGATTTCGCACGAGATCGAGTGTGATACAAATACTCCTTTAGGTGTAAATCATCTCCTTTGTTTGGCTGTATTTGTTCTCTACCGCACTCTTCCTTATTTCCTCATTTAATTAACTATATATTTTTCTTTCGACTCCCTCATTCTTCAGGCTGTCAATTCATTACGATATCAGGACCCGGTGTCCATTATCTTTACACCATGCATTTCTCTTTTTTTTACGCCTTGTCCCTCAACTCTTTTGCATGTAGGAGGATAGATTTGATCCTGGTGTTTAAAGGTCCTCCATTCGTATTTTCATTCAATTGGCATCGGCGTTCTTGAGAGGACATACCCCCAGTTTACAAACATGGCCCTGTGGAGTTAACCCATCCTATTTTAAAATTATCTTTTGGATGCGACGCATGTAGATTTTCGGCCCCCTCTCTTTCTTTTCTTCTACCTTCCTCTGCCTTAAAGCTGCGTAACGCATATTATATTCACTACCAGGAACCTGTCTACAGTGATTTTATGTGTTCTTTCGTTCTTCCCACCCCCCTCTCCTTATTTTGAGAGATTACTTGCGCAAAGTGAACCTATATATCTATGAGTCTTCCCCACGTCCTTTACTTGAAGGCGTTACTGTTTTGACCTTCACTTTTTCCACCATCAGACAGATATAATCCCAGCCGAACATCGCTTGATTGCTAGCCTCATTCCCCCTCAGCACGTCGATTTTGCTTTGTCAAATTCTTGACCACCCTCGTCTCCGATAAGGAGATAGGTGATTAATTCCCCCCGTTTTCGGATACATGCAGGCAGGAATTTTGCAGGGTGATATGGGAGCAGGGAAATTATATGCTGGATGTCTCTATATGAATGTTTCTTCGCACATATATAATTATATATACTTACATTGGTTGCCTTGTTTGTTTTCAAGAACATGCTGCATATTCATCTGGGGATGTTTGGTCTCGCCTATTTGAGATATATCCAAGATCAGTACTAGTATAGTACTATCATCAAACAGCATACCTCATGAATTCATATGTAAATCCTAATGCAAGGGAGAACAAGGATTGATTTTTCGGAGTAAATTGGTACTTACATACTTTGAGAAACGACAGAAGGCCGTTGATTTTTTTGACTTCACGCGCAAATTTTGAAATGAAAAGCATCAAAAATAATCTGCATTCATCGAACATCCCCATCCCTTCCTCTGTTCTCCTCAACCCACCAATTCCTAAACTTCCTCAACCTCACCGTCATCACCCTAGCTATCGCCCTCCCAGATTCCGTCTTCATCATCCCCTCCAACCTCTGCAATTTCGCTCCAAAATGCTTAATCGCCTCGTCCAACTCCCAGCTCCCCTGGCCCCGCCCCTTACCAACCTCTCTGCATTCCTGCACGATAGCTAGCTCTGGATACCCTTCCTCAAAAAATGGGGCGGCAGATTACATTCGGATCCTTCATTTCCGTGGAGAAGGAGACGTTTCGAAACTACCTTTTGGACTCTGGCGGCCGGGGAGGGATCTGCGCCGTTGGAGAGGAATGCGTCGTAAACGACGTTGGTGCTGGTAGGAGTGCTGCTGGTAGGCCGGGGGGAGGGGGGGAAATGAGAATACTTCCTATCCCCGATGTCATTGGAACAGGACCGCCAGGGTTATGACGGCGTCATTGTATGGGGTTGTGGTGAGTGAGGAGGTCGAGGATTGGGGCCTGCTTTGCGCGCTCGGAGGCCAGGAGCTTATGCGCGAGGTGCACGACGCGGTGGACGTGGCGGCGGGTTGTGGGATGGGATGGGTCATGGTTGCGCATGCATTGGGTTATATATGTGGTCATGCGGTTGATGAGAATGTCGGTGCTGGTGGCGCCAGTGGCGGTGGGGAATGTCCCTGCATGCTTGCCTATGATGGGTATGGCCGCGTTGGGTGGAAGGGGATCCATTGTATTGGTTTTACCTGCTTGTTTGTGGAACGGTGGCTGCGCGTGGGTGGGAGATGATTACAGGAGGTAGGAATTGGAGCTTTGGGAACGGGGTTGGAAGGTCCTCTAGCTAGGTAGGTATATTTATTACCTAAAACGGCTGTATTCGAGGTACAACATACTCAGAAGATGGACGATGGCAAATTTTGGCATTCTAGGCTAGCTAGCTTTTAAGCAATAGGCTAGTTTTGACTGCATGTAATTTTTGTTTAATCTGTAAATATTGCATGCTATTGCCTAAAAGAAGCGCTAGCAGCCAGATACATGAGATGGCATCAATATAACTAACTAGTGGAAGATGAAATTAAAATCATTCTGTGGAGACAAACTTGGCAAGTACTTGCTTATAGCATTATTTTTGAATGTATCTAAAATGGTTGGTTTTATATGTGCAGGCAGGGCATGTAACGAGTTAAATTGTTATCAAATTTCACGGTAAACAGGCCAAAGACATTATTACATATCATGCGAGCCCCATTTCTACCAATAAAGTAAAAGGGAAGATGGTATGACAATTAATTTCCCGCATGAACACAAAAAGGATGGTTAATTATTCAAACAGTCAATCGATAGACAAACATGAGAATGTGAAACATAGCATTCGCTTGTTGAAGAGGAAGCATTCCGCGCCCTGTCCAACATCATTAAATCGCCCGTTGTTTCCCAAGTAATTAATGGCTCCTTACAACCCGAGGGCTGTTCCAGGTTGTAGTGCAATGTTCTTTTTGGATGCATTCGACGCACTTACAACGCCAAAGCAGCCATGAGGAGACCGATGATACCAGCAGCAGAGGATCCGAGTTGGGCGTTATTGGCAGCCGCACCAGCGGATGGAGATGCAGAAGAGGTAGCGCCAGTCTGGCTAGCACCAGTCTGGCTACCATTGCCAGTTGTCTCACCACCTATATACATCATTAGTATCCCCTACCAAAGCAGGATGCAAAACATTATTACTGGGGAGGGAGCCAGCAGAAACTGCAAGACCCATCACAATATTAAAAAATATAAATGAAATCATCTTACCGGAGCCCGATGAACCAGTTGGGGTGCCAGCAGTTCCGGTAGGGTTTGGCATGGCTGAGGTGACACTGAAGAAGTGTTGTTTGATACAATTTTCTACACACTGAACATGTATATCCGTAGCTCCAGGAGATCCGTCGCCTTTGGGGCATTCTGCTGTGCACGCGGTGGTGTCGTTGGCCATGGCGTTATTGGGACAGGGGACATGGAAGCACTCCGCTTTGCAGCACACATCCGCGTTGGCACCTAGAGTTGGAAGCAATTAGTACGATCTCAAGCACCATTTGTAACAATTGCACATACATTTATTAGCACACAAAACAGTAGGAGGAAGTGGAGCCTGTGACTGTTGCGGCTGGGAATCTTGTGGCAGGGCGGAGACACAAGCAAGGAGGCCAGCAAGGGCGAAGATGGTGAAAGCCTTCATTCTGGCGGGTTGCTCGACACTAAAGTAAGATAAAAGCTCTTAAAAGAGAGTAAAGAATTGATTAAAAATAGATAGAAAGAACGCGGGAATGTAAAGAACAATTTAGAGTTGGAAGACGGCAAAAGAGTGTATAGATTTTTGTTCTGGGGGAAAAGAGCAGAAGAGAGGAGGAAGAAAAATCCGGGGGCCCCTGTTTTCGATTTGACTCCAGCTCTTGTTTTATATGATGCGGGTCGGGCGACGGGGGGAGAAACCCAGCAACGCCCCATGTGACCAGCCAGGATTCAGCGCTGGATCTCCGATTCAAGCTGGTAAGTTGTTCCTGGGGAGCTCCACTGGCGCCGTTCTTGCTGTCCCAACCCCTGAAAGCCTGCTAGCTCCTGCGACGGAGAGCCAATGGGCCTCTGGTGGCGTTTGTGACCAGCAAACCTTGACCCAATGTCTGGCGGAAAACCTGATAGCTCACTGTGTTTGAACCAGTGGAACCACCCAATTCGGCACACCGAGCCTGGTGGAAGTGCAAGAAAGCAAGAGGCTGACACAAAACAATGCTCGCTTCGAGGTCTCCAGACCTGTATTCTGTCACTGTCTCCTGGGGAAATCCACGAATTCCAGAAACCTCTTCTCTCTGCCTTGAGTTTCTGTTGTTTCATCGACTTTGCCACCGGATCCGTCACAGGTGTTTTAAAACACTGTTTGTTACGGCTTAAGGGTGCCATGCTCTTCTCGTCTTCCAACTTCCCAAGGGTCAACCCTGGGAGGTTGGTCGTCTCATGGACTTTTGACCTTTGGTGGTTGAAAGCGCTCTGGAGGATGTTCGGCCTCATTCCCATCGCTCATTTGCTAAGCAGGGTGTAATTAACTACTTCCAATTCCCTTAGTATGATTCATTTTTTCCATGCTGTACGGAGTAAATCGGGAGGACCCGCCAGGGTATTAGGGCCAGCTTCCAGACATCTTGATCACGTGGATGCGCGTTGTGCCACTACTCAGTTGCCTTGACGCGGCGGCTCCAAACCTCGAAATATCACCTCGAACCACACCTCGAATGTCACCTCGAAGGCCAACCGAACGACGCTGACATCAATTTGGAGCCCGGCAAAAACGGAGCCGATAATAGATATGGTTCCGTCTGGCTCCTAGGGTATTTGGTTATTCATCCCGTACTCTCGTGTTTCTACTTAAACCCCCAGTACAATGTCGAGCTCCTTCGGCAGTGAATTCAGCAACTTCGATGATGATGACATCCTCCCCGTTGTTAATGACGCCACTTCCGCTGATTTTTCAGCTGCCAGCTCTGACAGCTCTCGAGCCCCGAAACGAAGACGGTTGAGCCATTCCCGGACAAGTGACAAAAGAGACGCTCGCACTTCTTGGGGTACCCTCAGCGGAACGGGGCACGAGAGCGGCCATGAATCAGGTCAAAGCCAAGACACTCTGCCATCGCTTCATCGAGCACCGGTTGCCAGGCGCAAGGATGAAATTAATACAAAGCCAACCGGTCCAAAGTACAAAATATATCAGTCAAAACACCCCCGTGCCCAAGAACCGACTTTCGTTACTCAGTTGACCCAACCTCCATCGAGCCCATCGATAATCCGTGGACCTCGGTGGAAGAAGCCTGACCCAGAGGACCTTGCTGTAAAACGTGCTCCAACTCCCGTCATTGACAGGAGTCGGAATCTTCCGGAGACAAACAATAATGATATGGATGGGGATTTAAGAGTTGCCATTGCCGCATCTCTGGAATCTTTTCGAAGAGAAAACAAAGGAGACATGGAACCATGGCCTAATCCTAAGGAACGAAAAAGTCCCGTCTCATCCAATTCTAATTTTGGGCCTCAGGATGCCTTTTTTGATATTGGAGATATCCCTGAAGACGCCTTCGACTCTTCCCTGGATTCATCATTTGATTCGCCCCAAAAGGCTCCCGTTTTAGTTCCATCGTCCCAGCCTTTTCCTTTTCAATCCTCATTCCGTCAACAAGGTAGTTCTCAGCAGAGAAATTTGCGGCAGATGACATTATTTGGTGGGCCTTCTCAGACTATCAAACCGTCATCATCGTCACAATCTATGTCACACAATTGGCCCTTAATAAGCCTCAACGAACCTCCAACACATCACAGACTGGATTCTACTGCCATAAAATCTTGGGTATATCCAACAAACTTAGGCAAGAAAAGAGAATACCAATTTAACATTACCCAACGCGCTCTGTTTCACAATTTACTCGTGGCGCTTCCGACTGGCCTTGGGAAAACATTCATTGCCGCTACCGTCATGTTGAATTGGTTTCGGTGGACTACAGACGCCCAGATAGTTTTCGTTGCTCCAACAAAACCACTGGTCTCCCAGCAAGTTGTCGCATGTTTCGGTATTGCCGGGATACCTCGGTCACAAACTGTGATGCTTACTGGGAGTACAGGGCCAGCAATACGTGCTGCGGAATGGCAGAGCAAGCGGGTTTTCTTCATGACACCTCAAACTCTTGTTAACGATCTTAAAAATGGACATGCAGATCCGAAACGGATTGTCCTACTTGTCATTGAAGAGGCCCACCGTGCCACTGGTGGCTATGCCTACGTTGAAGTGGTGAAATTTCTCCAACAATACAATACCAGTTTTAGGGTTCTTGCGTTAACAGCAACTCCCGGGTCATCGGTGGAAGCTGTCCAAGAAGTGATCGATGGCTTGAATATATCTAAAGTTGAGATACGAACGGAAAGAGTCGCTTGACATTCGTGAATATGTTCATTCACGAAATATTGAAATTGAGACTTTTGATTACTCTGAAGATATGATCATGTGCATGGATTTATTCGGCAAGTCGTTGCAGCCCGTCCTGGATAAACTTCGAAGCCAGAATGCCCATTGGGCAAAGGACCCGATGACTCTTACCCCGTACGGACTCACTGTCGCCAGAAAGGACTGGTTGAAGTCACCCGCTGGGAGGAATGCAAATAATGGGCTCAAGGGTATGGTACATGCCATTTTCTCGGTACTTTCGAGTTTGGCCCACGCAATAGACCTCCTGAAATACCACGGGATTGGGCCGTTCTACCGCAACCTCGTTTCATTTCAGAGCACTTTGGGTGCAGGCGGTAGTAAATACCAACGCCAAATCGTTGACGATGGGAATTTCAAAACGCTGATGAATCGGCTGAGGATGTGGACCAATAATGAAGACTTTATTGGGCACCCGAAACTGGAATTCCTAAAAAGGGTCGTGTTGAACCATTTCATGGATGCGGAAAAAGATGGGGACGATTCCATTGGAAATAGACATCCGTCAGGTACGCGAATAATGGTGTTTGCGCATTTTCGTGACAGTGCGGAAGAGATCGTGAGGGTATTGAAAAGACACGGTCCGATGATCCGTCCACATGTGTTTGTTGGGCAAGCGGCTGCGAAAGGATCAGGTGGGATGGACCAAAAGACACAACTCGAAATCATCGAGAAATTCAAAGAGGGGACATATAACACAATTGTCGCTACCTCCGTCGGTGAAGAAGGCCTTGACATTGGCGAAGTTGACCTCATAGTGTGTTATGACTCTTCCGCCTCGCCCATCAGGATGCTACAAAGGATGGGTCGAACCGGAAGAAAAAGAAGAGGGAATATTGTTCTTCTTTTGATGAAAGGCAAGGAAGAAGACTCGTTCACAAAAGCAAAGGATAATTACGAGAAAATGCAACGGATGATAGCTAGTGGGGCTCGTTTTACGTTCCACGATGATAAGTCTCCACGAATACTTCCGCGAGATATACATCCTGCAGTGGATGAACGACAAATAGACATTCCAGTTGAAAACTCCCAGACCGATTTACCGGAACCCACCAAGCGAGCGAGAGTTCCTAAGCGGCTTCCCAAGAAATTTCACATGCCTGATGGTGTTGAAACTGGATTCACCAAGGCATCTCGTATCAGTGGCATGAAGGTGAGCCGCAAGGCTACTGAAAGCCTCCGCAAATCTCCGCCAAAAGTCGTGGAAGTTTTTGATATCCCGCCATTGGATGAAGTTCTTCTTTCGAAGGACGAACGAAGAGAACTCGAACAAAGATATTGCAGTATCGGGGGCACGAGCCCTCAGTTTGTCTCCAGGCCACGAATTGATGCCTATCCCGAGCTGCAAAGATCTTACCGCCCAACAAAGTTTGTAAAGCACGGGGCCGTCACCTGCCGACTCGTAAAGGCTTTTCAAAATATGAATGCCTTGACAACCGACTGCGCGGACCATTTTAAAGCTCATCTACACCCCGATGACCAAATTGAGCAGTACGAAGCTGTAGCTTTGAAAGGCACTGACCGAAGGAAACACCCTTCTTTTTCACGGGTCCACGAGAAATGTCCTGACCCGCCCGACCTTAATCGACAAATACACCATTTTAACAATGGGTCCCAGCCATTTTCTCCATTGATGCGTTCCCAATACTCGCCCCAGCTCCCACCGAAAGATCGATATCTCAGTTCTCAAGGTAGTGCAGGGGATGACCTCGAACTTCCTGATGTTGAAACGCTTTTCAACCAGCTTACTGGGAAGCGAAAAGCGGAACATGAGCAACAAAGTCCGTCAAGAGGCACACGGGGAAAACTGTGTATAGTTAGCGATGACACTGACGATTTTGATATTTAGAATTGCCATCTTCGTTGTTTTTGGCTGTGGTAATATACATCTGCTTGGAAAAGAAATCGATATACAATCTATATGTTTGTTCCAATGGCCCTTATTCAATGAGGGTTTGGCTTTAGATTTTGTTTCTATAGTTGTATAAGAGTATATATTGCATCCAGATACCCAATAGAATGAATTCTGCGAATTGAACTATTAAAAATGGAGCTTCTTAGCTTGTCAGCGTTTTGTAAACAACCTTCCGGTTTTTGCCTCACGTACTTTTAATATTTAACTCTGTTCATCACCAAGCCTTCGCGATCGCATCCGCTGCACAAACAGAGAGAGCTCTTTTCTCCGCATCTTCCATATCCACTACACAACCCCTACAATCATGGCAGATACGCAATTTGACAGTGCGCTGTAAGCATTGGACCTGTAACCATCATCACCTTTCCCCCTTCTGTTATCTCCGCTCGTTCGACCCTTCTACAACCTAACTACCCCGCCCCTTGAGGTACTAACCTTCTTCTATCGCCCAGTGACCTCCTCCGCCGTCTCTCGCCGCGCGAAACCAAACAAAACCTCGAATACATCACCAGCCTCGTCCCCGATCTAACCGAAGACCTCCTCGCCTCTGTCGACCAGCCACTCGAAATCCGCCGATGCGCTCAAACAAAGCGCGATTACCTGCTCTGCGACTACAACCGGGACGGTGACAGTTACCGCAGCCCTTGGAGCAATGAATTCGACCCACCAATTGAAGATGGGACTGTGCCCAGTGAGCGAGTGCGAAAGCTAGAAGTCGCAGCCAACGAGGCGTTTGATGTTTACCGGGAACTGTATTATGAGGGTGGGGTGGGAAGTGTATATTTTTGGGATTTGGACGATGGCTTTGCGGGCGTTGTTTTGTTGAAGAAAGGTGCGAGGCTTTTCTTGATCTGTTTCCCCCATCTTCGTTCGTGAGAGGGATTGTCCTCAGCAAGCCCGGGCGGCTTATATTCAATCTCCCCCCCCCCACCCCACCACCACACCACACCACGCCAACCGACGGGCAGGACTTTTCGCCTATGCTGAATAGCTGGCTAACTAACTGTTTTCCTCCCAGCCATTACACCTGGCTCCAAAAACTCTGGCGCCTGGGATAGTATCCATGTCTTTGAGGCCACAGACCGTGCGCGGACATGTCACTATAAATTAACCAGCACGGTCATCTTACACCTATCAACCGGCTCAGAAGGGTTGGGAGAGCTAGACCTCAGTGGAAATATGACGAGACAGATTGAGGCAGATATGGCCGTCGACGGGGATGCTAGTCATGTCGCAAATGTGGGGCGGCTGGTTGAAGATATGGAGCTGAAGATGCGGAATCTTCTACGTACGCATGTCTTTTTCTTTGAGATTAGCTAACCTTACATTTAAACGACCCCAAGGCTCTCTTGTTTTTACTAATATCTGGACTTTGTTTGCAGAGGAGGTCTATTTTGGAAAAGCGAAGGATATTGTCTCCGATTTGAGAAGTGAGCTCTTGTCAATTATCTCTCTCCAGCATCACTATATTACTTCTGCTCCTGGGCTTGATTTTATTTCTTTCTGCTAACACTTTCGGTAGGCATTCCACCCCTTTCCGAAACAAATAGAGATCAAGCTACACATCGGGAGATGATCAATTCTATGAAGAGATAGCATCATGGCTTTGTTCTTTTTGCTTATAGAAAAATACCAGCCACGGGAATCTCAGATGGCTGGGATTTTGCACCGGTATTGTCGTGCTTATTTTTGGCGATGGTGTGGATTGTATTTGTTACTTTATGTTGCTATCGGCTCTCCTATTTATTCTCGAATGAATGACAAGACATTTATGACCCTTTGCAGGTTAAAGAACCTGTACAATCTTCCATTTCATTGCTTTACGACCAGGATCCTTGTATCTATTCCAAAAAAGCCTCAGCAACCATGAGGAAATCGTAAGTCAGAGAGCCGATCAAGTATATCAGAAACCTACTGCGTAGGTTACGTTACCGCGGTGAGAAAACAAGCCGCCGAAACTGTCTCCAACTCAACACATAATTGCTCCAGTCCAACACGGCACACCTATCAAACTTCATTGCCACCATACCGAGTAATTTTTGCTCATCATATCCGTCGTATTAAGTCCACAGCATCTTACGCGACGAGACAATTTTCCGTAGTAGACACATGAGTATCCCTATTATATGTAAATAGGTAACATTATGAGTCTCCTGAAGAGTAGTTCCTTCAGTTCCAATAGCGCAATCCATTTACAAGGGCGCGGTTTACTTAGGCCGGCCGATAAAGGACACCAGCAAGCTTAATGCCGCTTCCAAATAGTTTCAAGTTGATAACTCGATAATTGTAAACGTCGTACGGCGCAATGGATGGCGAAGTCAATGGACGTAGAAGCCTCACCATATAGATGTAGCGTTGCGGGAGATTGATTTATATTGCATTTCAGCCCAGAATCGAGCCCTGATGAGGCTTTAATCAACTCCCCGATTCATTTTCGGAAGGCCCTTTAGCTTTCTCCAGTTGAGTAGCAAACTTGCTGGCTTCCGCCCACAGCTCTGCCTCCTTATCCTTTCCGACGGTATCTTTCCGGCAATTAAGCCAGCTGGTATCGAGAGGGTTAACGCCCCCAGACGAAGTAGTAGAGGCAGTAGTAGTAGTGCCTCCAGCAGTGACTTCAGCTGATTCAGGTTGGATGATAGACGCTTCCTCCAGAGCATACACCTGCCGTCGTAGTCGCACATCAATGGAGGAGAGTAGCGCAAAGTATTGGGAGCTTGCAGCTTTGAAAGCTGCTCGATGTGATTCTAAGGTCCCATCGATTTTGGGCAAATCGCTGGATGACTGTCCTGAGGTTACGGAAGGAGAATTGGTGAGTGAGCCGATCGCAACACCCGCTGCATTGAGAAGCTTTGCAACATCCTGCGAACTTATCGTCAGACTAGGTTAGAATGCGGGGAGAGCAAATGGGAGGACAAACTTTGTCGATATCATTAAGTTCACGGATTCGATCAGCAGAGGTAAAGACACGGTCCGGCTCTTGGGGCTCCATGCTGTTTCTCACCATACAATTGAGCGAGTATCTAACTAGAGCTGATGGGAGATTTGGACTTCTAGGCGGTGATTATATAAGCGCACGTCGTTCAAGCTGCTCAAAACTAACTAACCTGATTAGTGATAGTGCAATATCAGAACACCCAAATGGGATTTCAAGCTTTCCATCATCAAACCAACTTCACTCACCACCATCGAATTCTAATGCCACACTTTTCTTAATTATCCAGCCCGTCTCAGAGCTTGGGAAAACTCATTGCAGTCATCTCGTCTTTTAGTTATTCGGCGGATATGCCCCAATACTGTTAATATAGAAGCGGAAAATACCCAGCATGTCCGGTCCCGGAGCTCCCAGCCCAGGCCCCAGGAGCGCCAGCATGGGCCCAGGCGGCGGGGTGCCAATGTCCCAGCAACAGCAAGTAAATGGCGGCCCTCCTGCAGCAGCGAGTCCAGCGACCTCTGGCCCTCCGTCAGGGGTCATGTCCCAGCAGAATTTGAATCAGATTGTAGGTCAAAAGCCTTCCCTCGCTGTCTTGTCACTTCGTCTAGCGCGGAGTACATAATCTGTACTTTAGTTCTACGCTATGTTCGTTGAACTTTCCAAGCCTATTTATCTTTCAGTTGAGGTCGTCTCTCCCCATTCTATATGCCATAAAACTGTATATATTCTTCTCCCCCTTTGTTCCTAATACTGTGTTCTTACTGAATCTTTGTTTCTCAACTCCTCACATTTTCTCAACTATCTTTCCTTTTCATGTGACAACATCTTGTTTCAAGATATCATTCAAGCATTTAATTCTGTGAGGTATCTCTTTGCCTGACATTCATTGTGTTTTTTGGGCCTGACATTTCATGTTATGGAATGCAGAGATGAACCATTTTTGTGGTGAGCCTGAGTGTCATTGCAAAGGGCTATAAATGCTGGTTCTATACCTTTCTGCATCACATGTGGTTTCATTTTGGGCTAGACTTTCTACAACGTTCTCCTTATCCACCCAGATCCCGTTATGATTTTTTCCCTTTTTTGGAGCAGAAAAATCTCTCTGGGCTACTCGGCAGGCTCAAAACAGCATGGACCATCAAGGTCCTGAGCGTGTGCAACATGGAGACCCTTCTGTTGGAGGTGCCCGCGGTCTTGTCCTAGCAGTACGTGCTGCGCAACTGTGGTGGCCTTGTTTGTGTCCGCAGCGTTTTCATTTATTATAATAGTTTATTTTGTTATTGCCCATGCGCTGTATCTTACAATTTCTGGCTATTTTTGGTTATAAGTGCAAACTAATCGTGTTTTTCTATGCTCTAGGTCATCGATTATTTGGCGAAAAAAGGTTACAGCAGAACCGAAGCAATGCTTCGAATGGAGTCTGCGAACCAGGAAATCGATGGACGTCCACTTCCTCCTGCTAGCGAAGAATCGCGCCCAAAGTTCAAGTTGGCATTTGGTATGCATATTTCCATCCGCAGTTTCCTGGTTGGGGTTGCTTACTTACCTTCACAGATATGACAAGAAAATGGATCGAAGATAATTTGGATATTTATAAGGTATTGTCCCTCGACGAGTATATTTATACAGCGTTTTAACACAATTCGCAGCCGGAGCTCCGACGTGTCCTATGGCCTCTGTTTGTCTACTCATACCTTAATCTCATCACGTCCTTGGTACCACTGGAAGGTCGCCAGTTTTTCGAGACAAATAAAAGCTTGTTTCTTCCGGAACACAGTGAAGATATTCGCGCTTTAGAGCCAATAAGCCTCCCCGAGCATGTACAGGAGAATAGTGTTGCAAAGCTATACCGTAACAATAAATATCGCCTTACATTGAGCAATCCAGCCTTTTCAAACCTTATGCAGTTCCTGGAGAGTAAGCAGAAGGAGGGAGGAACTGTCATGTCAGCTATTCTGAGCAGCTATTGCACAATAATTACTAAGGACCGAGCGGCGGATGATCGGTTCAGCTTTGCTGCAATGCTGGGAAGAGCGAACGATTCTGCCGGGATTCCTGCGGAGGATGAAGGAATACCAGGCCACCACCCTGGATCCGCATATACGGGTGATAATCCTGCAATGGCAGGAACACTTCCCAGACTCAAGCTTGGAAAACTTCCGATGGAGCCACTCCTTGAAGGAGATGTAAGAGCAGAGCTTGAAGAAGCAGACACAAAAGACCCTCCAACGGGAGGTCGCCCATCTCTTGTTCAACACTTTGAACAAATGATTAAAAAGGAAGAAGACGAGGAGGCTCCAACACGTGCTGAAATACCATATCCGCCATCTGTAGCCCGCGATGTCGCCATGGAAGTTCAAAAGGTCAAGGAAAACCGTGACAGATTCAAAATCGAAGGACGGACTGGGGGAGTTGGCCCCGCCATTAGTGTTTGCATGTTCACTTTTCACAATACTTACGATAGGTACGTTGACGGAAGCCCATGGCTTCCTACTCATTTTATGTAGGTACTCTAACCGTCTTCTAGCATCAATTGCATAGACTTCTCCGGCGACAGTATGTTGGTTGCCGCTGGAACCCAAGATTCTTATATCCGGGTTTGGAGTCTTGATGGTTTGCCGATCCCAGCAACATATCAAGAATTAGAAGACTCTCCGCCTACAAACTCCCATCGTCTCTTTGGTCATTCCGGACCGGTCTACGCGGTGGCATTTGCCCCCTCAATCGCCAGCCCGGAAGAGGAAGAAGTCAAAACGAATACGCGCTGGCTTCTCTCGTCATCAGCCGATAAAACCATCCGTTTATGGTCACTTGATCTCTGGCAATGTATGGTAGTCTACAAGGGCCACGCACATCCCGTGTGGGATATCGCTTGGGGTCCCTATGGCCATTACTTCATCTCTGGCAGTCATGATAAAACTGCACGCCTGTGGGTGACGGATCGGATACGACAGCAGCGAATCTTCGCCGGACATGATCAAGACGTCGATTGTGTATGCTTCCACCCAAATTCAGCCTATGTTTTCACTGGTAGCTCCGACCATACTGTGCGCATGTGGGCCGTAACCACCGGAAACGCTGTTCGTATGTTTACGGGCCACACTGGCAACATTACCGCATTAGCGTGCAGCAACAATGGCAAGATTCTTGCCTCAGCTGACGATCACGGCTCCATCTTCTTGTGGGATCTAGCGCCCGGTAGACTCTTAAAGCGCATGCGTGGCCATGGGAAGGGTGGCATTTGGTCCCTTACCTGGAGTGCTGAGTCGGCAGTCCTTGTCTCGGGTGGCGCAGACGGCACTGTTCGTGTCTGGGACGTGGCAGGGCCAGCTCAGGATCCGTCCACCGGTCAAGGACGTGTGATAAGCGAAGGAGGTACGGGCACCAAGATCGATGCTGGAAACCCTACTGCCTCATCGAACGCTCAAGCCTCGGCTGCGGGTGTTCCAAGTGTTGGTACAAGCACAACGAAGAAGAAAAACAAAGAGGTTGTCGTATCGCCTGACCAGATAAGTGCATTCCCTACCAAAAAGAGCCCTGTTTACAAAACACGGTTTACAGGAATGAACCTGGTCGTTGCGGGTGGCGCGTATATGCCATGAAGACAACAGATATTGAGCATATACGTGCCTCTTTTTCCTTGTTTTTTTCTCTGTCTACCTGCCAATGTTCGGATCCGTACCGGGTTCGCATTTTATGTAGAGTATTTCAACTACCCTTAGTGTTCTTGTTTTCTACATCTTTCCTTTCTATTCCCGGTTTTTGGCGCAAAGGCATACAATCAACGTTGGGCATGTCACTTTTTTTACAGGGGAAAGCGAAAACGGGAAAGGTAATTTGTTTTCATATGAGATTTCCCTGGAGTTCTTCCTTGGCGTGGATGTGTCCATTTCTCCTCCTTTTTCCCACTCCTCCCACCCGGGAGATGTATCAATGCATTTAAACACTTAGTCCAAGGAGAGAGTAATTGGTCCAATGCTATTGCTGCGTGAGGCGTGCAAAAATAAAATTGACACTAGAACCGGTTGTTGCAGGCTGTGACCCCCGCCCTGTGCAGATGCTGATGCATTTAAGAGTTGCCTCGAGGACCCATAAAGTCAAGAGCTTCTAGTATGGTATGAAACGTAGGCAGTCACTTGGAGAGATTATAAATCCCGCCTATCTCCATATATCGAAAGCAGAAATGTGCTTCATCACAAGCACGCTGGCTCCAGGGAAACGGCAAGTGGGGGGGGGGGGGGGGGAAATACATTCATCCACTGATCCCAGAGAAATGACATCCGTTAATTCCGGGTGATCAGGGGTTTGACTTTTTCCAGTTGCTTGGCGGGAACCCGCTGTCATTCCCACCCCCAACTCCCTTCGCCATAGCCTGCGTCGCCACGATATCACCGACTTTGGGCAGGAGAATGAGGGCGCTTCTGTCGTTCCGTTTGTAGAAGTCGACGAGGATCTGTGCTGTTTTTGCGGGCTGGTCTTCGTGGATAAAATGTCCAGCTTCTGGGAGTACTTGGAGCTGATATTTGCCTGGGTTTGTTATGAAAAATTTCGGGCAAGTGATGTTTTAGTGTGCAAGTCATCATGTATGTAAAAGTGAAGAAGGCAAATAACACCTTGAGTTTGAGGTTTCAAGGGGTTTAAGAACATACCCTGCATCTGCCCAATAATAAGCTCGGTATCAAGGCGATCTGTTCCAGCCAGCAACAGCAGTTTGCCCCCGCGAGCTTGAAGGAACTTCTTGCTCAGGCCGATGAACCAATTCTCCCAAAAAGGCTTCGTTGCTGCTAGATCTGTACGCCACTTCCACGGTCTGGAGCTATCGGATGGGTCTTCACGAAGTAGAGGTGGCACAGACGCACGTGCGGACAAGGTATTGCGGATCGTTCGTGATCGAGTGCTTGCATTATTAGTTTTGATCAAGCTGATGAAACCTAATGGATCCTAATGGAACAGGTTTCTTTGAAATCCATGAGCGAGGAAGAGAGGAAACGATATGCACAACATACTGCCAATCGATCCCAGAAGATACAGAAGGGAAGCTAGACGGCCTGGTAGAAAGGTACGTCTCCATACTTTGAAGCGCATCCATCGCAGAACCTGAACTCATCAGCAAATTCCAACAAAACATCGAAATTGATATTATCCCCCACCTTCAACAACATCTAAAACGGCATATGCCAGCAGCTTCGACCCAAGTTCGCCTTTGCTGGCAGCATCGGTGACCACAGCTCCGCCCAAACTATGGCCAACTAAAACGACATCCGGGTGTGATTCCCAGTTCATCTTTATTCGAGTTTGCTCTATCACGAAGAGCAAATCACGAGACAAAGTGTCGAGGGTCAAATCCATCTCTACCTGTGAATTATTTTCAGCATCCTGAGACATTTTTACGGAGGTACTTCCATGGTTTCGCGCATCTAGAGATAGTATGCCAGCGGCAGGAAGAAGCTTTTTGATTTCCACCGCACAGGCAGCGAAAGAAAGGCCTGATGATCCAGCTCCATGGTGGGTGACAAACAAAGGACCTGAGTCTGAAGGCGTACTGATGTACACATGGTGGGTGATGTGCAAACCGTCGACATCCTCGTCCAGATACAGCTCACGGTCAAAAAAGTCCATCCATGATAATGGTGCGGCTTCTGCCCTTGAGGATGTTAACCTATTATTAAAACATATTAAAAACGATTTATTGAATAAAGGGAAAATAAAAACAAAAATAAATAAAAGCCAGTGACTGACAAAAATTGGGTTGGTACTCTAAACACCGGAAGGCGAGAAATAGAGAAGGGGATCCAAAACAGACGCCCACCTACCGAGGCGTGCGCGCGAATAGGTTTTTGCTCGCGGATGGTATCACAGTCCCAGTGGAGGATGCTGATGAAGCTGAAGACGAATCATCATCTTGATGTTCATAATGCCTTGAGGCGGCACTACCATCATGGTCATTTTCTCTATCCTCACTAGGGTCCTCAAACAAGGGCGCCTCTGGGGGTAATTTAGCCAGTCGAGATTTTGCAAAAGATTTCTGAAGCTCGCTCATATCTAGCAAGGTTTTACGTATCGAGAGCGATCACGGGTGGCAGGATTCAGCAAGAGGCTGAGGAGGACATGGACGGCATGAGATTGGAAGATACGGGGTGCAGAGTACAGAGAAGATATATCAAAGCGTCAATGCCCGTCTCTAGGGCAGCGTTAGGGTTTCTCCTACCACGTGGACGCCCGGTTTGGGCAGCGCTCGCCGCTTCGGGTCTAGTGCGTCTCATTGGGGTCTTGGCACCGCCTGTTCGGGCATAGCGTTGAGCCTTGCCACTTGTTTGTCACGTGGTTGTTTACATAGTATCAAATGTTGACTAAGTTGGCCCATACCTTGCTTCCCCTTTACGTATACTACTAGTGATGACATGCGGGCAGGGTTGAATTGCCTTTATCTTGCCATGAATTGTAGGTTGTCTTTATCATGAAACAGTACAGAACTAGCTAATTATAAAACTCGAAAGTTTCAAGTGATGGAAGAGCTGAAACCGCACAATCAACAACTGAACTTGGAGCAGGAGAAGGTATGGATAGCAAGGTTCTTCAAGGATCTAGTGCCAGAAGAGTTGGTAAAATCTGGAAAGACGCTGGAGGGCTCCAAAAATCCCAACGGCAGAAGACTGCGAATTTTTTGCTCGGGGTGTCCTCCAGCCAATGGATATACAGCCCGTTGACAGTCAAGGCGCTACTCGGCTATGTCTTGCTTGTTTAGTTAGCTCTGCCCGGTGATTCCGGGGCGAGTGCATATTTTCCAAAAATCCCCTAAGGTAAGGGCGCATCCCCTTTGCAGAGGCAGTTCACGACTGTTACCGAACTCACGCAATTTGTGGCAAAATCCGCTTTTTGGCCTCAGCTGGCATCAACATACTTCCCAGCATCCTGAACGAAAACTGCCAGAAGTACTCTGAACAAGTTGGTGCAGAATGACGCCCTGAGGAAGATCGACCTGCGTCTCGTTTCATAAACAAAGCATCTTCTCTGTTAGAGAGAGTGTCCCTTCTCGACAAGCTTCCGACTGTCTTGACATATCATGACTTTGCAGAGGTCAACAGCATGGTTGACTCACAAGTTTACGTAACAGGGGCGGTCGATTTTGACGACACTCAAACAGAGGCCTTTGGTATATGTATCTTCGGAGTGTACGAGAGCTTCTTTGGTGTTATGAAGGATCAAAAGTGGAGTTTCTTCGATGAGCTTGCCGGAGATGGCTCCGAGTGAAACGTGAGGGATGTGCTTGAAACCGCATTCTGGGGATACAGTATGGGTTTCAGTACCGCTGGAGATGAGGAGGGACGGGTTTGAAGAGGCTGTTACAGTTGCGGTCGATATCGGCATCTTCAATCGATATTTCGTGAGGGGTTTGATCGAAGATGTGAATCTCGAAGGCGAGGATCATAGATCATCGCTTTAGTTCGCAAGGGTTATCTTCTTGGAACGGTAGCTTCCAGTGCCAGGCCATAAGTATTGGCAAACCCCAACGCAATCATGATGCCTTTTGATGGCAGAAAACTAGTGAGGGTTGCCAGTACTTATGGCCTAGTACAGTACAGAGAGAGTGTGTATTCAACTCCTGGCCCCTTGGGCGATATACATGCTACCATTGAAGCTATCCCTAAATGGATCTATTTACATGGTTCCCTACACCCTGACGAATTTAGGACCTCGTCAAGGCCTGTGGTGGCCTAAGTCCTGGTGGATTACGGCCTTCCTGGAGCTCGGCTTATAGATCTCTGACATTTTTCTGTGAAGTCCAGAGCAGCAACAAGTGTAGTCTTGCATGGCGTAATTAGACTCATCTTCCTTACCTTCTTGTTGTCCTTGTCCCCGTCCATGCATCCAAGCACACGCCATACTGGTAAAAGAAAACCTAAACTTTCCTCCGTAGTTTCTGACATCTTCTCGGAAACGGTGTAGTTTTCCGCGAGTTGCCAGCCATGAGTGTGCAGTCCTTAGTTGAGTTAGCAGAAGGCAGTGCTAAGGCACAACTGATCATTCACTGACCCTGATTGCTTTAGGGTCAACTACCAGGGTCACCATGGGCCAATAGACCAGCTCATCAAGTACACCATCCTCATCGGTGTATTCTCTGACCACGATGCCAGCAAGGGGGTAGGAAAGGATCAGTTGGATGCGTAGCCAGCTGATCTCTAACTGCCTCTCATTTGTGGCCAAGAGGATGCAGACAAACTCGGCGAGATAGCCAAAGAACGTAGGATCTGTGGGCCTTTACTCGCGGTTGAGGCCTTTCTCATCATCGGCAATCAGTGCTATTACCTATCCTCAAGCCTATCTACGAGAGGAGTATGCTAGGATCTCACAACTCACATCCCGTGATTGTGCCTCAATTAGAGGGACAATGCTACTGCCAGTAGCTTCCCTGTAAGCCTGGAAGGGTACCCTTTTGCTCATCCAGAGGGGTGGCGGTGAGAACGGAGAGTGCGTGAACGGGGTGAAGCGTGTGAAGTGTTAATATTCTGCGGTGGAGGCCGACACAGAGCAAGAAAGTGGGCATCGTCTTTACCAGTGAACAACCAAGAGCTGCCTTGATGATAGAGCAAATACAAGTGACTGCTGCCCGCAAGGCGATATTCGCGGAGTCGATTTATCAAGTTGACAAATGTGATTTAAAAAAGAATGAAAAAAAGTTAGTTTGATCTATGACGCCGGATGTTCCACGCCTCCGTCCATCAAACCACTCCGAATTCCAATTGCCTTTATATCAAGTGGTTCGCTAGACGTAAATGCACTACCATTATTTACTCCAGCTGTTTTTACAAACCTCAATCTCGCGGCAGGAGAATACAGGAGAATGCCGCAGTAGAGAATCGGGCATGGACTCTCTGCGCGCTGTAATGACCATCTTCGAAGGAACATGCTGCATGCCTGTATGGCCACCCGCAGGAATTCCAAAGACATTTGGAAGCGAGTTAAAACCCTGTGTTTAACAACGGGAACAACTTTATTTTCGAGTCGGCCAGTGATGACCTCATCGCGCCCATGACGATATCAACTGAAAAAGTGCAAACAGGGGACGAAAAACCGGTAAGTTCCTTCGCCACGGTCGAGGATTATTATATATCCAAAACAATGAGGCAGGCTTCGACCACTATATTATTATTGGTATTTTGGAACGAAATTGCAATTTCAAGATCCCAGCGGAACTCCTGAATCCAGGCTCTTTTCCTCTCCCCCTCTTCCCACCTTTCCGTATGCGGCCTGGATTTTACAAAGCGAGACC